AGCACGGTTAACACTGTTAGCACGGTTAGCACTGCTAGCACGGTTAGCACTGCTAGCACGGTTTACACTGTTAGCACGGTTAGCACTGCTAGCACGGTTAGCACTGCTAGCACGGTTTACACTGTTAGCACGGTTTACACTGTTAGCACGGTTAACACTCTTAGCACGGTTTGCCCTGGCGATCCCAGGGGCCAGGAACAGAACCTTCTGCTGTATGACCATGTTTTTTTGTTGCACTCATGTGGAAGGTTAGGCATCTAACCTGTTCATAATTATAGGCTGACTGACTGAAGAGCAAATGCACTAAACTCACCCAGTCAACGGGACATGATTTTGACGAAACTTTGTGAGTTTCGGAAATTTACCAAAAGTTTTTCATTGGATTAAATAAGGACTGAGTGAATGTTGGTTCTGAATACTATAACACATGATGAGGAAACCAGACTTTAGGTCATTAGGTCCCAACTGAAAGACAACAAAAATGAACTGAGTGAGTTTTGGAAATTTGTGCTTCAACTACTTATTCGTTGGTTTGCTTATAAGTTTATTCAGGTTGTCTGATGGCGGAATACAACAATAATATGGAATGGCTGTAAGTACTGATGAAGAGGTTTGGGAAACAAGGATTTACTCTTCACCTTTTCATAGCAGTTTGATCTAGAGATGTTTCCATTCTAACATGTCCTTTTATAGTAAAAATAGGAATGCAGACAGAAGGTTGCCAGGACTGTTTCCATAACACTGACATTGAGATTGACATTGAAAAAACAAACAGATGTTCAGTGTGCACTAGATCAGGAATGTCTGCTGCATTGTTGAATTTTGCACTGAACGTTCCGGTTTTTAGATGCAATTCCTCATTAACAGTGAAGTGAGAAGAGAACAAAACAGAAGAGGCTCACCTTACACCCTTCACATGAGATGACTCCATAGTGGATTCCTGAAGACTTGTCTCCACAAATCTTACATGGGATCACCTCGATTTGAGCTAAAAACCAAGAAGAGGGAAGTGACATTTCACATTCTGCAGCATGTGAACTTGCAGAAACATCTACACTTACAAAAAAACACCATCAGCTATTTCAGGCAATTTCAAACATGGAGCAATTTAGCATAACGACATCGAGACGCAAAATAAGCCCAACTTATTCTTCTTATTCCACTCAATAGACTATCATCTACCAAGATTGCCCACAGATGAAGCTACTTCCATTCCACTACATTTGAACAGTAGGACTTCCTGAGTCAGAAACTCAGTATTTCATCGACTGGGAATCTTGGGAAGATAAACATTATGATTTAATAGCACAGATCTATCAATAACTGGTTGTCATGTGACTTTAACTACAGGCCTCATTTTCTTTTATCTCATAGAACATACGTAAAAAGGTATTTGTGAGGATTCAAGTGCATTTCCAAGAAAATACTCTGACATGCCCCAGGAAACTGCTTTTTGCAAACAAATGCAAAAAAACCATCATTATACAAATAATTTTACTGTTTAGTTCCACAGTACTCATGAATTAATTGTCATTGGTTGAATTCCCACTGGGCTGAACGATGCAATGGACTTTGTTACCTAAGGCATAAAGGATCAAGGATCAATCTAGCTAATTAGGAAATCTTGCTCAAACGACCAAAAGAACAGAGCAAATCATTCTGAAGTATCCAACATTAAGACAAAAATGCAGCTTAACCCACATTTCTTTAATGGCACTAGTTCCGCTTTCTAGATAATTAACGTTCACATAATGTCTTTCAGGGAGTATGAGCCTTCCTTTTATGAACCACATGCTAATTTGTCTGCGAAAGTAAGTCTTCATTTAATTGAGTCAATAAGACCTCAGTCTTCTATGAATGCGGCATATGCCACGTCTTCACTGTCTATAGTAACACAACAGAGAGCACATACTTGGTAAATATACTGAAAAGATGTCAGGCTCTATATTGTCAGTCTTCCAGGTGACATTTAACAGATCGCTGAGCAGTGACGTTAAGTAGGGCAGCTTGTTTAGATCACTGACGACGTGTCTCACTGCTCCAAATACATACTGGACTTGCTCACTGCAGCCATGGAAAATCACTCTAGTCATTCCGCCTGGTCATACATAGCCCCCCACCTCCCACTTCCGTTTCAGTTCACTGTTATATAACTGCTGTCAGATTGCATTCCACAAACATGCTCATTCAAAGATAGTTACCCTAGCAACGCAGCAGCTCCTCCCCATCCCCTCCTGCCACATTCTCATTGGCTGCTTTGTGAAAAAAAGACCTCAGTTCTAACACGTCCCATTGGGTGTTGCTGCAGTCACGTTACACAGACAAGCTGTCCTACTGACATACTTTCCCACTGTTAAGGCCAAAGGGGTGTGTGCAGAGGCTTTTGAACACTGGCTTTTCTGTTTTTTTTCCATCCATGGAATTAAGGTGGAATGAAATGAGATAAAGAAAAGTAATTCTGAGATAATAGTTTCCGACAGGGAATCATCACCTAAAGACTCAGGGTTCTCATAAAAGCTGTTAGCATTCGCATAGTATTGTACTAAAAAAAAAGAAATACTTTCAAATACTTTCTAAATTTATAGCAAGGAATTTTTCAAGCCATTTAAAATTTAATAAATTACCCACAAGTTATTAAAGATATATATTATATGTGTGGAATGACTTTTCAACCCCTGAGGAAATCGGCTGTTTAAAATAAGTTCTTTTAGTGAAATAAATGGCAGTACAGTGAACTGGCCAGATGCCTTTTTAAAAGAGCGTTTCTTTTGTATTTGTACATTGTGCACTTAAATGTAAAATTGTACGATTTTTTTCAGTAACAATGTGCATAATTGCACTTCAATAACTATAATGTGTGTTGAGAATGGCTAATTTCAGCTGCTCGCACTTCGTGGAAACACAGTAACCGTTGTGTCACTGAAGTGAGCAGGTGTTGGCCGTTCACTGTATCGCTAATTGGGTCAGCTAAAATGTCGAGCAGTGTGTCAGTCGGCCATTTTTCCCCCTGTCGCATTAACCCTGTGTGGCCAGTGGGCTTATCGCGGCCACACTCCAGAATTTCTCTGAGGATCTGTCCATTTAGATAACGATCTGCACATATAACGGACTTCCTGCCCCAATGTTAGCGCAGCAAAGAAGCGACTTGCTCCAGCGTCAAACACAAGCATCACTTTCCCCCTAAACCAGTTCTGACCCAGACTGAAGTCTTGAGGTCTTGTTCTGCCCCATTTACCCAACTGCAGCCCGGTCCGCAGGTTCTCTGACTGGTGAGCCGTAAAGTGTGGCAGCTAATGGCCAAAGCAGAGCCTGCTTCAGAGGGTTTAACGGCAGTGATCTGAAACACACAACTTCCACATGGAGACCTTCCACATCAACATAGCTGAACGTAGTGGAGTGTGACTGAAAATGTTTCTCCCCTCAAACTAGATCTGCCAGGAAGGATGGCAAACGGCTTTATTTCCATCTGTTTCACAATTCCAATGCCATAATCTGACCAAGTGAGCACTTCTGAAAACAGCCTAGCAGAACCCGACATGGGCACACGCACAATCCATATGGCTGACAGAAATCTGACCTCCATGTTCCTGTCTGCTATACCACAATGACCCCAACATGCTTTTCTCCCAGCATGCCCTGGCTTCTTGTGGTACAGCCCCACAGAGAAAAGGACCCGCAAAAAAGTGTTACTATACCACTCATATATTCATATCATTGCGGGGACTTTCATTTCTATGAGCATAACTATTATCTTAATTATGATAATCCTAACCCATAACCAGTCCAAACCTAAACCATAATTAACCAAAACAAAATGCAAAAGACTTACTTTTGGCTATTTTAGTTTTTTGATTGCATTCATAGATTTCTATAAAATTGAGCTATATATTGTAGGGAACCTGAAAAATGTCCCCACAAGGTAATTATTACACACACACCCACACACACACACACCAGACACACTCATCAAATAGTGTGCCTCACAGGGGGACCACTGTTAGATTGATAATAGTACGATAACTTCTCTCTGAAGAGAAATATCTACCTGGTTGAAACATTAATTAAAGCCGTAAGCGTTAACATTAGTTAAGAAAACAAAAGTCAACTCTCGTGAATCATAAATATAAAATCTGAATACTTATAAGTTGGTGTTGTCAGCTGGTATAATGTTTGAAAAGCTAGAAAATGTTTTAATAATTGTGCAAGTTAGCCCACAAGCCACTCCCACTAATTAGCTGGCCCCTCCCACTTGCATAAATGCTGCGTAATCCCCAGTGACATAACTAGGTCAATGGAACAGCCGACTCCCACTTACACGGCAGAACACGCTGGAATATTACAGCAACAAAACGCACACGGACACGCGCTTGACAATGAAAAAAACCCTTCCTTATACATGTGAAACCCTTCCTTATTGATGCGAAGCCCTTCCTTGTAGATGTGACGTACACCATCAACTGGCTATGTAGTGGAAGGAGTTTAACATGTTTTTTTTTTTTTTAATGAATTTAAGAAAATGTAATATGTAAAGTAAGATATTGTGCTTACACCTAAGTCAATAGTCATCGTCAATTTTATTTCTGTCAGAGATATTGATAATAATAGTGATCATAATGTCATAAGTTTACCCCTACACATCTCTTGCATGTTTTCTTGCAAGGACTGCAAAACAGCAAAACTACATTTCCCGTCTGTTTGCCTCTGAATAATCTTCTCATCAGCCTCTCCAATCTGTTCCACTGAATTTCGTTGCTTAATACTCTAAAAACTTGCCTGTTGTGATTTTTTTTAAATGTATACGTTTCTTATTAAAATGTAGGATATTTCATCCTCATAAAACGACTGACTTTTAACTGGAATATCTACACAAATACTAAGAAAAAAAAATCACTGTCTATGCAGGAAGACAGTCAGTACATTAATCCCATTAGTTAAAGTAGTCGAGAATATCGGAAATAACAGTCGCTTAAGAATACGATTAAAATATATAACTATCAGAAAACATAATCAGAAAACATCAGAGTCATAATTCCCGGGTTTGTTTAATACTTATCATATAGTCATTTTCTTGCTAAATGCATCAGGTAAAAATAAAAGTTAAGTATTTGCTCATATAATCAAGTGACCAACTTACCTCTCATGCTGACAATTTGTCTTCAAATTACAAAACTCCAAAGTACAAATATTTCTGCCAGAACAGCCAACTATACTGTTAGCGAGCTGAACTATAACTTCTTTTGTAACGTCAATAATTTAGGTAAAAAACTAAAAGCAAAATAGACCGTGACATAATTCCTAATAATTTTGCTTAAGAACAGCACAGAGCTGAACGCATGACTGAATTAAAGGCTTTTTTCCTTGGTATCTGCAGCAGCAGCAGTGTCTTTATTGGGGAGCCGCAGGAGCCGCCGATAGACGCTCGTCTGTTCTGTTCCTCTCATTCTCCGTCCTCCTAACTAACCCACTTTCCGAGCGCGTGCGCTCACGTGATCGCGGCCAGACGGCTCGCGCCGTCCGCGTGCTTAAGGTGGGACTCGCTGCGTGTAGAAAGGTGTCCGGCAAAGAAACGTCAGGGCTTTTTAATGCTTTCATAATGGGGTCCCGCGACACATTCAGGGGTTCCTGGTTTAAGAAATGTTGTCAACTAAACTGCTGACTGCATTTAATGTTTAATGTTATACTTTATGTTGGTTTTTAAAGGGGTATAACGTTTGTTGCATGTTCTGTTTTTAAATGTTAAGGATTTTTTTTTACGGTTTTCTTTTCCGCACTACACACATTTTTCAGTTATGCAATAAAACCGACTTGGTAGAACAATGAACAATGGTCGCTTTAATCTGGTTTTATTGCATAATTATGTCAGCCAGTTTAAAGTCATGTTCAAGATAGTTTATTTTGAAATAACAGTATGGTTTATTTCAGTTTCCCATTAGGATAGGCTATATTATTTAATTTTTGCGTATACTTATCCAGTACAAACAGGTAATGTGAGTAAACACACAATTCTTGTACAGTATTTTTCATCCAATCAGCAATCAGTAACATCAGCAATCACCCCGCATCTACTAACAAGGACTCGTAACACTTTCCCTCTCACACACACACTCACGGACCGGTGCTGTGAAAATTGTCAGGGTGTGTGTCACCGTGTGCAGGGGGGATTGGCTGCGATGGGGCTGGCCGTCGATGGCGGCCCGTGGAGATCGCTGGGTGACGCAATGCTGTAGCTGCTTCAATTATGAAACAAGGAGAGGGGAGATTACAGTAAGTAGGTTAGTGGAGCGGCAGTAGGGCACGCCACGTACTCTGCTCTCGGCGTCCCTTTATTCTGTCACCCCTCCTCCAAACACACACACAAACACTGATATTTCTACGACTTTCCTTCCATCCCAAGTAATTTGCCCGACATTCATCCCTCTAATTCCCTCCGGCCGCTGCCCCCCCTCCCCGCCTGTTTTTGTGCTCCCATTCTGTGATCCTGTGTTCGGCTCAAATTGTTTTACCACACTTTCAGTCTCAGCTTTCTGACGAATGTGTTCTTCCTCAGTAGTGGGCACACTTTTTTTTTTAAAGGAAATCAGTGTGGATGTTGTGTGGTGACACCGACCACTCTGCCATAGTGACACTGTACCAGTGTTGATCATGGAAGTATCATGAACAGCTACAGCAAGATTAATAATCCTATAATAACTAATAGCAATTCCATAAATAACCTAATTCCAAAGCATATAGGTTAATGATTTAATACCTTGTAATTCCTATATTTATGTTCCTTATTTATCCACAGCAAACATCCCGAAATGGATATGTGACGTAATGATAAAGAGTATTTAAAAGTAGTTAAACACTGAGAAAAAGAGCGAGAGAGATGGAAGAGAGGGGGGAGGGGCTTACAACCAAATGCATGCAGATAGTAATTTTTCTCATTGTGTGGTTGAGAAAAAATGAAATATGGTGCTGAGTAGGTGTGAGGGAGACCGGAGACATCTCCTATTAAACATGCACACAATGCACACACAGCAAATTAACTGACGGTCACAAGGGGATTACTTTCGGATCCTGCGTTCGGTGAATCTCATCCTCCTGGGACTGCAGTCTTTCAAGGTGGTAATCCTTCTATTTTCACTTCTTTCTAAAAGAGCACTAATCCTGTGGCCTCCCCCCCCCCACCCGTGCAGGGAGGTAATTCAGCACGACGCTATTTACTTCCCGCTGGCACATGGCAATGGGTCAGTGTGCCAGTTTACGGTTGGGGCTCCTCTGGTGTCTAGGTGTTACTCTCTCAGGTGACTTCCTGAGAAAAACTGGGCCAAGGCAGGTTCAATGAATCAGCGACATATATACTGCAAGCTGGCAGACCCCCCCGCTGGTATTGAAATTGCTGCATCTTCACTACTGACGTTGATATATGTTTACCCAGATGTTTCAACTAGGGCCTCAGAAAGTAGCTATCATGGCCTTGGCATACCCTGCATTCTAGAACTGAATATTCCAGAGACTGTCTGTAAATGGTTCCAAAGCCACTCAATTAGTTTTTTTTCCCTTCAATATCATTTCTTGAAACTTGGACCGGAACATTGCATTTACCCCTTAGTTATTAGTTTACTATAAATGTGTAATTAGTTTGTGACTGTCTTCTGCTGACAAATTACTAACTCCTGGGGTAAAAGGATTGCTTAAAAACAGGTGTGATGATTCACAACAGGCAACCTCTGTGTTGTGTGGGTTTTTAAAGTAAATCTCTAAGTTGTATGTTCTGCTTTAGTTGAGGGAGTGTTGTGCCAGAGTCCACACCATCCTCATTGGTCCATCAAGTTGTCAGTTCCCAATACCCTGCAAGTGCTTCCACTGCCCTATAGGCTCCAATTTCTCTGGGGCTTTTACTCCTTTCTGCTGGACCACCCCTTCAACGTGCTGCAGATTTAATTCTCATGCAAGTCAAAATAGAATAAACAGCTCTATCTTCCAACCATGACCACATATTGGATGTAAAACTAATTTGTGTAATACACCATCCATTTTCTGTAACTGCATGTCCCATTCTGGGTTGCGGGTGGTCCCGCTCCTCTGGGCACAAGGCAGGGAACAACCCAGGATGGGGTGCCAACCCATCGCAGGGCACACTCACACACTATTCACACTTATGGGCAATTTGGTAACTCCCTGGAGTAGCCACAAACCCCACAAAGACACAGGGAGATTATTCAAACTCCACACATAGGGAGCCACGGTAGAGCCTCGAACCCTGGTCTCAAAGGTGTGAAGTGACGTTGTTAACCACTCGCATTGCTGTTATAATCAACAAAGGTCAACATGTCCACTTCCCATATGCACAGAGCTGCGTTGTACTCAAAGCATTTGCATGTGTGTAAGAACTCTCTTCCTTTAATATCCAGCAGTTGGACTCAATTACTCTATTCAAATCATGCCTTATAACTCATCTGTTGAAATAATAATAAGTTTATGTGCATATGTGGAGTTTAAAGAGGAAAAGTCTCACCCTGAGGCATTTCTCATAGATGAGCGCAGGCAGAGATTTAATGTGATCAGACGTGTTTTATAGTCTCATTATGTCAGATGGAGACAATGTGAATCAGATGTGAAGGTAAACATGCAAACTAAGCAAAAATGCACATATGGAAGTGGGCACAGACATGAACCACACCGAGAATGCCTGACATGGGCTTTCAGGAAATATATCATAATTCATTTCCCCTCTGTTGGTTCTGGTCTTTGTAAAAGGGCTTGTTCCACTATGTTGCCCCCATGTCGATGTTGATTCTTACTCGTTTCCCGGCGATGGGAAGGCCAGCAGCTGTTGCTATGGAGACTTGCATTTGTTCCTCTCCGGTGAGTCAGTGCACACTGCCGCACTGGACTGACCTATTTCCTAGCCCCACTCGCCAGACCGAGAGAAATCCAAGGAACCAGACCAGCGCCACATAATGAGAACCAGTTTCAGTCGACGTTTTTAAAAAATCCTGGGCAAGAAGTTACACTTAAACCGACACGATCAATCAAAATTTCATCCTGAGTGCATAAATATCATGCAGATGATTGTGTTTTTGAGTCATCGGTTAATCACCGCAGTCTCATGTTCACTTTTCCTCATCCATTGTGATCAGGAGAGATTCAATCAGTGAGCTCCAAGCCAAAGACAATGTATCAATGCACCAGAATCTACCGTCACAGCAACATTCAAAACGAACGTCATGGCCTATAAATCAGTACATTGCAAGAATATATTCAACATGATTTTCACACCTTTTTGTGTATCTAAAACACTATACACAATATATTTATGGATAGTATGTCCATTATGACATGTACAGTAAAATGTATAGATCCATAATTTAATTTACTACACAATACAATGTTAATTATTCTGTGATGCAAACTATGAAATAGACTGAGGAAAATAACAGGAAAATCAGACCAACATGCCACGCTTTTTATGAATATAGTAAAGCTGGGTGTTTTCTGTTGGTGTTATATATGAATTAGACAGAAGGTTGAATTGCAGAAGCAAATAGTTTTATTCCCAAAACTGTGGGTACAGATCTAAAACACTGGCAGTACATTGTAGAATTATGGACACGAGAAGACAAATCAAATCCAAGTTCCAAATGTAATCCCAAAATCCACAGTCAAAACATGGGAATTAGATTGTAGGTCCAGCCACAGCCATACGGACAAAGTTAATAAGTGCAAGATGAGTAACTAAGAGCAAGAAAACTGAGCGATCGGGTCAAAGTCATAGGCAAACACGAGAGGCAGGAAGTGAGCCTCAGTATGGTGAGAATACGTAATGTCTCATGTAGAGGGGAGGAAAAACAACATCTTGAAACTGCCCACCAGTAAACACGTTCATGAGCCACAGGTGTGCTAAAAATCCGGCTGAAACAGAGTGTGGCCAGGCTGACTGTGACCGAGCACTTCGGCTGAATGCCGGCTTACAAACTGTGATAAATAAACTTCATGTACTTTCTAGACCATTATCAGCTTGGGCCTAATCAGTTAAATTCACTAGAGCAAAGTATAAAGTATACAGCAGCTTTCAACAGGTACACGGCGACACAGCAACAGAAGAATAGAGAGGGAGCGTCCTTGGGAGATGGGAGGCAATCGAAGGACAAGGGGCAGGTG